AGATAAGACCCTTATTCCTCGTCTGGTATCGTGTAGAGCCCTTTGAAGCTGCACTGAAACTGTAATTTTGACCTTCAACCATTTGGTAACCATTGAAGTCCACTGTAAGGAGAATAATCCTGGAATGTTTTCATCAAAAACCTTAATTTCTTTTCGACTGAAGAAAGAAAGACATAAACATCTTGGATGACATGGGGGTGAGTAAATTATCAGGAAATTTTCATTTGAAAGTGAACTAATCCTTTAATGTACAGTTCTTAGAAGTGAAAAAGAACAAATCATCTTATAATAAAAGATCACTCTTTGATCCATTTTAGAAAAAACTCCACCGGATGTAGAAAAGTCATATAGACTCAATATCAACGTGAGGTGAGCACTTATATATAGGTAGACATCTTTTTTTTAGAAAGCTGAATAAACTAATTCACTGCTTTGCACCCCCAAAGGGCTCTGGAGGGACGCCAAGTGAGGATGGTGATTCTGGACATCAGCCTGCCCACTGGCTTTGAGCCTGAAAACTCAGATTTAGAGTTGGTAAGACCAATCTCACGACATAATGTGGTATTACATTAGCGATAGAAGCTAATTCTGTAGCTAACTGTGTTGTAGCCTACCTAGACAGCATTTTAAGGTATACAGGTGCACTCCAAACATCTAATTTTGGGTCTAGTTTTGTCAAAATTAAGCAGCATTGCATGTATCTGTCATGGAGAATTCCCATAATGCATTGAGACAAGCTACATCCAAGATGGTGTAAATTGAGAAAAAAAGTCAATTATGAAAATGTTTTGTGCTTTGTATTTTATATCAAGTATTGCACTTTTAGCTTAGCAACATGCTAACATCAAACTCTATTGGAATCAGATGTGAGTTGAGTTTGTGTGGTGCACAGAATTGCTGACTATAAAAAGTGCAATCTGACACTTTGATAGTTAGGAGGCTTACTATGTAGGCAGCTACCTACATAAATAGTATGAAGCAAGGCATCTTGTTATAGAAGTGATAATGTCTAGTGTGACTTTCTAGCTCACAAATTCAGTGGATCGCTACATCAACAACTTCCAAGTGGTGGACAACCTGAGCGACAGAGGATCCCTCATAATTCACCTGTTTAGGGTAACCTAACAACCACCCTAATGGTTCATACCTGTTTAACATGATGTAAATGAAGGAAACATTAAATATTTGTCTTTGTCTGAATGTCCCGGACAGGTGTCCAGTACTCAGACAGACGTGATCTCATTCAGACTGCATCAGAAATTTAAAGTGGGACTCCTTCAGCCCTCCACTGTCACAGTGTACCAGTACTACAACAAAGGTTTGTACACACATTTAATTAGTTATGTTTGCTAAAGTGCACTGCTAACCTAAACCCTTAAGCATAATACCTTGGTGTTTAACTCGCCTTACACTGTTTCTGCTATAGGCATGAATAGCTCTAACTGAAGTGTGTTGTTACTTTTCTGACCAACTGAACATGCTATTAATTGCATAGAAATGCACAAGCAAACATCCAGAACACCTTAGCGATATGAGAAAAAATCATTAATGCGATTTAACATATTCATGGGCCACTCATACAGAACATGTTTTTTGAATTAAAAAATGTGAGACGTGGTTTAGTGGAATGGGAAAAACAATGTTTTTAAATGTTCTCTTTTAAAATCTTTTAAGTGGAGTGCTGAATTTTATGTGCAAAACATAAATATTAAAGGTAGGCTAGGTGATCTCAGAGAGGCTAGCAATAGCAAGCTAGCTTTGAATGCATAAGATCACACCCTCCCTGCAAATCCTCCAAAACTCATGAATGCGCACAGGCAGACCAGAGGCTAACCATTAAAATAATGAGAGTTGGCGTTGGTGGAGGATTGAATGCAACCCTGTCAGATTAACTCATGTCTCATTCACCGGTGAGAAAACATTACAGCACAAAGCGCATAATATTACAATAATAACGCCTTCCATTCTCACTCGGCCTGCAATAGCATAATGGAACGTGCTGATGACGTATCATGTCTGCGCGAACAGGGTGCATGAAGGTATGCAAATATATATGTTGACAGGCAGGTAGGTCAGCCTATCGTAGCCCTCGGACCGAGGGATATGATTGGACGAGCAATTTATAGTCCTATGCCTTCCATAGATGATATAAATACATTTAGACAATGATTAGACAAGGATGATCTCCTTGCAAGGGACTCTATTTGTAAAATAAGAAAGAATGAAGTACTACTTTCTTGCTAAATGAACTCTACTTATCTATGTTTTATTTACCAGTTAGTTAGTATGTAGTGCTATTTATTGTGTTGTTGTGATTACAGTCTCTGTTGTTTCAGATAAACGTTGTAGCAGGTTCTACTCTCCTCCAGAAGACAAAGAGCAGCTTGATCAGATCTGCAAAGACAATGTGTGTCGCTGCTCACAGGGTCAGTTTAGCTGGACTAACTTTGTGTTTTCAATCAACTTCTTACCTTTAACCAGTTATAAAGCAGTTATAAAGCTTTTTTCATAGGTGACTGTTGTGTGATGAAAGAAGACTCCTCGTCTTACAGTGAGGAACAGAGGAAGGCTGCAGTGTGCAATGGATTACACCATGGTGAGTGTTTCTTCTGTTAAATCAATGTGTTTTTTGGCGGAAGCAATCATGATGTCACGTCATGATCTCGTCAATAAATATGTCTTTTCTTCAGCCTACAGGGTCAAACTGATCAGCGTCAGCCAGAGTAACTACGACCAGTATGAGATGGAGATTGCGCAGGTTATCAAAGAGGGTACGTCTACTAGAGTCTGATTTTCTCACGTACCCAGCAAACTGGCTCATGGATCTCCATTTGTGTTTGTGTAGGGACAGAGGAAGGCCTGAACGAGAATGAAAAGAGGATGTTCCTCTCTCATGCAAGCTGTAGGACAGGACTTGGTTTGAGAGAGGGTCAGGACTATCTGATCATTGGGCCCATCACTGATGTTTGGCATGGAGGGAGCACGTCCAACAAGTGAGTAGTGAAATAGCACTGAAAATTTACATGTTATGGTTCGTCTTTCATAATTCGGTTGTTTTCTCTCGCAGGTATGTGTATATGTTGGGTAAGGACACATGGGTCGAGCGCTGGCCATCCGAGTCTGAATGTGGGGCTGGATCCACACTGGAGGTGAAATGTGGCGAGCTGAAGAGCTTCGCACAGGCACTGACCAAAAGTGGCTGTCAGACTTGAGAGATGCCACACAAATTTCATTGCCACCAGTTTAAATTGTGTTTTTGGTTTCATACACCTTTTCCAAGACACCTTTTCTGTGTATCTTTCTGTGTATCCTAAAAAAAAAAGAATAATAAAATGTCTCACTTTTTCCAAATATTTTATTAACTGGGCAGCTAAAGAAGTTCCGGGCAGGTCTCGACTGAATAGCAGTTCCATATCACTTTGCCACATTTTTTCAGTTATTTCAAAGAACCTTGCAGCCTGCCACAGCAAAGGAACCAAAAACCACAAAGTCAACAAACAAAGCAAGTAAATATGCCAAAAAATAAGATATAAAAAATATTCACTGTATATTAAACCACTGTGCTTTGGCTTTACCTTCACCTAGACAGGAGACTGAAAGGGCACAATCCAGTCAGTCAACTGGTCAGGATACCTCCTGGTAATGATATATACTAAGATAGCATCAGTTATGTTTATTGGTAACCCAAAAGGTGTTGGCTAATGGTCAATTGAGTAGTTACAATACCATGTATTCCTTTTTCTCTAGTAATCTCAGATGCTGTAGAATATTATACCAATATGACTACTAAACACACCTCCAAAAATGACTCTTAGATATAAACATGGAGAATCAGTGTGATTTAACACCTAATAATGAGGACTGGCCAAAATTTATAATAATTGAATCATCAACACCAGATTTTCCAATCATAAAACTTTCTTCTTTTGCCATTCATAATGAAATTGTAGGAAAGCTGGTCCTGTTAAAGAGGTAAAGAAATGATACTCTGGCCAGGTTTTTGAAGAATGTTGTAAGAAGGCTAATTACGAGAATCCTCTTCATGTTAACTTGTTGGCTGGAGTTGGGATAAAGAGTTCTCCACCCAACACTCAACTACAGGAAAGGAGTGATTCAGACTATGGAGCTGGATGACAGACGAACAAGAGCTTTTGCACTCAAATCTCAAGGAGTAACATATGTAAACGGAACAACAATCAAAACAGAAGTTAAAACGATCATGAGTGGTACCTACATTATCACATTCAATAAAACTCATCCTCCAGAAAGGATCAGACTCGGGTATATGTGTATTCCAGTGGACATATTCAAACCCAATCCATTGTAATGCTTTAAATGGCAAAATTTTGGATGGAGCCAACTGCTGTAAGAGTAAGGCCCAATCCCAATTCTATTTTATACCCCTTCCCCTCCGCCTACCCCTTCCCCTATCGCTGTTTTTGAAGTAAACTCACTCTAAAAAGAGAAACGCACAGACGCGCATACACGCAACTTTCATCTCTCTCTCTCTCTCTCTCTCATCTCTCATCTCAGACCTTCATAAACTTGTGTAATCTCTAATTGCCTTGGGATGCCCATCCCTTGGCAGAAACAGAAAAGAAGATAATTAGCTTAGCTGCTGTTCAAAACATTTCAAGCAAATAATGATAATGTCCATTTGATCAGATGTAACTGGAGCACAAGGTTATGAGATACAATACAGTTCATGAATGCTTAGCTAAAGAGATGTGTCTTTATATAGATTTAAACAGAGAGAGTGTCTCTGCATGTGGGCAGCGCTGTCATATGCCATAGCTGTGCACAAGGTGTTTGTCACAGCTCCAGACTTATTTGTTCATTAATGACGTCATCAGCGACTAGTCGACTTCGACTCGACTTTCATCACATAAAAGTCGACTTCAAAAAATCAGAAGTCGTTCAACCCCTACTCTGAACCCCACACATTATCGGGAAGGCTATTCCAGAGTTTAGGAGCCAAGTTAAAAAATGCTCTACCTCCTTTAGTGGACTTTGCTATCCTAGGTACTACCAAAAGTTTTGCGACCTTAAAGAGTGTGATGGATTGACTAGTTAGGTACGCAGTATAGGACTCAAGCAGCTGCATTTTGGGCTGTAGCTTGTATATTGAAGATGTACGACAATCACCTAGCAGTGCAGTACAATAGTCCAGTGTTGAGGTCATGAATGCATGAACTAGCTTTTCTACTTCAGAAACATGTTCCGTAGCTTGATGTTTCTAAGATAGAGGAATGCTGTAACATGTGAAATATGATTTTCAAAAGATAAGTTGCTGTCTAATATAACACCCAAGTTTTTGACTGTAGCGATAGTAACAATACACCCTTTTAGATGCAAACTGTAATCTTAAGAGATTCTGTGTACTGTTTTTTTGGCCCAATAACCATTTTACCAGCTTTCCTTATATTTGATTCCTCTTTTCCAATCCATAATGGATCGTGTGGCACCTTAGCGTCGTGCTTACCTCTACATTTCTCAATGATTTTGGAATTTAGGAAAACTGCCATGTTTATACAACATGGTTCCAGCTCCAGCTGTACCGAGTGCAGCTTGAACGTGTCCTCACCTGCACTCAAAGGTAGACACATATACGCCATTAGAGCAAGTAGTCAATAAGCAAAACAATGATAATGTGTATGAGAAGATTGTAAGCAAGATTAGCGGCAGCCCTACTGGTGGTGACAGTAACGGGTTACTTAAGCAGTGGCGTACACATCTAGACAGAATAGCTTTGCCTTTACAGTGTGTACCTCAGATACTCTGCCAAAAACATCTGTTTCGTTTTTTATTATCATGTCTATCACACTGAAATCATGTGTTTTAAAGCCATAACAGTTTACACTTCTGATAAGGTTTTCTGAGTGCACACATCCAAAGCACATGCACAGAAAGCGGCTGTCACACGGTGAGTACTAAACTAAGTTCTCTCTCACACACAAGTTTATGTTAAAAAAAGCACATAAGTTACGAAAACACAGACGGTTATTTCAATTTCTCCCCATTCGGATTTCGAGCACACATATCCATGACAGTGGATTGTATATCAAGAAGGGTTTGGCGATCATAGGAAATTAAGGTACTGATTCCTTGAGCACACACACACATAGATAGCACCAGAACGTACAGCAGAGGACAGGAGCGACGGCAAGCCAACAACCACAATGGCGCCATCTTCAGACGTTTCATCTTCAGACCATATGAGCGATACATATGAGACATATGAACGATATGTATTTCGAACGCGAATGCAGCATGAAGGAGAGACTTTTGATTGCTTTCTTACTGACCTTAAGATAAAGGCAAAAACCTGTAATTTTAATGAATTAAGAGATTCCATGATTCGTGATCAGATTGTTTTTGGCATATGTGACAAGAAAGTGCGAGAAAGATTTGCAAAGTGATAATGGTCCTCGGTATAGTAGTCGTGAATTCCGACTGTTTGCAGAACAATATGGCTTTAAGCATACAACGTCGAGCCCCCTTTATCCAAAGGCAAATGGAAAAGCAGAAAAGGGGGTGCAAATTGTAAAAAGACTGTTGAAAAAAGCAGCTGCAAGCAATTCGGATGAATATCTGGCATTGTTGAGTTATCGTTCCTCCCCACTTGGTTGTGGGTTATCTCCTGCCGAACTACTGATGAACCGTAAACTGCGTGACACTTTGCCAAAGTTGTCTCTTAAAAGAGAAAACAAAAGTTTGACATTGAAAGAGATGCAACATCAGAAAAGGAAACAGAAAGAATTTTATGATAAGGGATCTCGGCAACTGATACCTCTTTCTGAGCAAGATGTGGTTAGAGTTGAGGAGCCAACAGGATGGAGAAAGAAAGCTGTTGTTCTAAAAGAAGTAAATCCAAGGTCATATCTTATTCAAACAGAGGATGGGCAAGTACTAAGGAGAAATCGGAGGAGTTTGTTGAAGTCTGCAGAAATCTGTAAGTCAAATATAGAACTGTCTCCTTTGGATGGGCTAACTTCTCATGAAGTTGAGAAATCTTCTCCAGAAATGCCCTCTGTGTCTCTTCCTGTTGCTGAGTCTCCTTCTGAGGTTCAGCTCTCTGAACAGTCCCCTGAACTGGTTTCATCTGTACCAAAGACTGACAATCCAATCTTACGAAGATCTAATCGTGTTAGAAAACCACCTTGTTAGACTGGATCTGTAAAAAAAAAATGAAAGAAAAGTGAAATAATCTTGGTATTGAAAAATGAATGTGTTGTAAATGGTAAAATGGAGCAATTGAGTGTTTTGGTGTTGGACTAGTGTTTAGTGTGAACTGTTTAGTAGGTAATGTTATTTATTCAAGGAAAAGGGATGTAATGTTATTTATTTAAGGAAAAGGGATGTAGTGAGTGGGATGTTTAGTCCACTAGGTGGCAGTAATGGATTGTATAAAGTCAAGTGCATTTGCTAAGGAGTGGTGTGGTAATTTGTATATGATGAATGTTCCACGTGGAATAAAGAGGCCAGCACCAGTAATACCTCTTTATATTGGTTTCTTGTCTGGTTATTGAATAATACAATTTCTGTGAAGTTAAACAGCTGGGAAAGAAATCGCATGTTTGTATTAGATATATGAGTATTAAGTAACAGCAGCATACAGTAGTTATACTGCTGCCTATGCTGTTAATAGGACCCAAGCAATAAAATAAAAGCAGAAAATCACTCACTGCTCTGGATTGAATAACATCTATAGCTTTATGAAGACATTTCTTACTTGAATGCTGCTTTTAAATGCTGTAGCGTGAAGATAAACATGGTGAATTGTGTGTGGCGCACTCAAGGCATGTGTCTCAGCTAATAAGGCAGTGTCCATCAGTGTTGCCAACTTCTTTCAATGGAAAGTAGCTAAAGCCAGCTTGAAAAGTCGTTCATCTGACGTATACATTAGCCTGCGGTTATTAAGATTCTCAGTGAACAAGTTATGGACCACTTTTATGATACATTTATGATGCTTTTGCATTCTCTCTGAAGCTTTAAAGCTTTAGTCCTCATTTATTGTACTTTCAATATGTTCGTAGTTTTCTTAGCATCTGGATTAAAAACGTTCCATTAGCTACTTTCTTAGGAAAGTAGACCCATTTTACTGTTAATATTGCTACCATACAGTCATCATTATGACTTTTTTGTACTCTTTATTTACAGTACGTGCATCCATCCATAACAATGACATTTACATTTCTGCATTAGTTTACGGACAACATTTTTTGGCAAGTAATTTTTACTGGTCTGCAGTGATTTCTCCAAATAACACTCTCAGCACTGAACACTGAAGTGTTTCAACTTGATTTATTCAGGAATTCATTGGAACACCCCCCTCCCCCCCACCCGATTCT